AACAGAGTTAATGTTTCGGGTCCGGTGACCCTTCCTCAGAACTAAGGGTCACCGAACCCAAAACGTTAACTCTGTCTTTTCCTTCACAGATGCTGCCAGACCTGCTGAGCTTTTCCAGCAACTTTGTTTATGTTTCTGATTTACAGCATCCGCAGTTCTTTCGGTTCCCTTGAAAGAGAATCTGAGAAGGTTACAGCACAGAAGCAACTCATTAAGCCATCCTGTCACCTCAACATTTTCTGAAGCATTTGAAATCTGGTCTCACCGCTCTAGGTTCTCCCGATGTCTTCTCTGCTTCAGATTATTAATACATTTTTCCCTTGAAGGATGATTTAGTTATCGTTTCATGCTTTGGAGCAAAGCACTCCATCCCCCAAGAACCCTCCAAGTAAAAATATTTTTTTTGAACCACACAGTGACCACATTAAATTGATAACTCCTTGTCATTGCTTCTGACCAGGAAGTCAATGTTCTTTCTTTCTGTCCAAAATGATTGTAATTTTAAAAGCTTCTACCAAATCTCCTTTTAATCTCCTGTGTTCTGATGGATATTTTCCCAGTACTATAAATCTTGCTTCATAGCTTAATGCATGATCCTGGTGAGTAAGTGCTGTTAACTTTCTCTGGTTTTAGTGTTATTTCTATGAAGTTACTCAGCTTGTGTGCGCTCTGATTTGAAAGAGTGGACTCAACTTCATTGTAATTTATATATTTTTGCTGTCTTAGGCTAGGGTGCAAAATGTAGTTTTGAAAATAAATTAACTCCTTTTAAACTTTATTTTAGGCACCCAAGGGTCAAGGTTCAGACAGTTCTAGTCAGGATGATAAATACAAATTGCAAAAGACAATCGAGGTAAGAACTTTAGACCAAATTTCTGTCTCAATTGCTGAGCATGACCCAAGTTCCAACAGTTTGTTATAATCTAAAAATGAGAGTATTTTACCATTGAAGTCATTGTGGTTATTTTCCTAACAGGTGGTTGTAATGAATGTGTAACTTAATTGGTCATGTGGTTTAGGAATGTAACTTTTAGTTTTGGGATAATTAAAGTTTTAAATGTTAGGTATTTGAAACTTTGGAATTCTGAAGTTGCCAGACCCAAGTTATTTGCATATAGTATGTATAAGGTCAAAAGCTAGGAGGGCAAGAACCATAAAACAGCAGGTGGGCTTATTTATCTAGGGAGCCGAAGATATATACTTATCGTCTTGTCTTGGTTAAAGGTTGAAAATATTCATGTAATCCCCAGGTTAAAGAAAGATTGAAAAGCAACAGGTAAATGAGGGGCATTCTTAAAGGATCTACATATTTTTCAAAACAAGCAACAGGTTTGAATCTTCATCTGGAATATCTAACTGGTGCCAAGTTGTCCTTGGAGGCCGTTTTGTGTAGGGATTAATTGTGTCTGTGGGAAGAGAGAGAGCTTCCAGCAGAGTCTCTGAGGCAGGCTGAGAAGGCAATTGTGTATCTGCTAGCAGCCAGAACACAGAGCATATAGGCCATTCGGGCATAGAGGTATTCCTGATTTGCAAGAACTTATTTCCTGATTTAAACAGCTAAGCAAGTAGTCAGACAGGGGCCCATGCTCAGAAAGAATAGTCCAAAAATGGTTCAAGTTGTTAGATCTGCCAGATAAAGCTAGAGGAAGAGATTGACAGTGGTGTCTACAGAGACTGAGAGCTCTGGAAGTGTAAGTGCCAGACGGGGAAACTGAGAAGACATCAGATGAATTTCTATCAGCTGTGGCACACCATGGTTTGCTCTCAGGAGAGATGAAACAACAATCAAAATCTTGCAGATCATTGGACCATTCTTGGGTGGGAAAAACAGTGGAAAAGGGAATGATCTTTTGGACTTTTTTGTGTGAAATAATAAGGGTTTTCAAAATATCATGTTAAATTATTGGCACAGGATTAATTATTGCACAGTTTTGATTTATAATGAAAAATCTTTGCTAAATTTATGCATTTCATAGCTTGGAGTTTGAATTTCTTTTTCAAAGTTCAAGGTGACTCTCAACAACATCAATGTGTTCATGTATTGTGTTTCCTCTCTTTTTATTTGGTACTGATGAGCGATGATATCATTGCTATCAGCAGCCATAGAGCCATACAACATGGAAACAGACCCTTGAGTCCAACCAGTCCATGCCGAATATAATCTCAAACTAAATTATTCCCAACTGTCTGCTCCTAGCCCATATCCCTCCAAACCTTTTCTCTTCATGTACTTATCTAAGTGTCTTTTAAACGTTGTAACTGTGCCCACATCCATCAATTCCTCAGGAAGTTAATTCCACACGCAAACCACCCTCCATCTAAAAAATTTGCCTCATGTCTTTTTTAAATCTCTCTCCTTTCACCTTAAAAATGCTCCCCCGTCTTGAAATCCCCCAGCCTAGGGAAAACGCACCTACCGTTAACTCTATCTATACCTGTCATGATTTTACAAACCTCTATAATATCACCTCTCAACCTCTACTCATTTCCATACTATCTTTGCTTCATTGCTAAACCTGACTTTATCCTCAGCTGCTGACTGTACTTCCAACCAGTGGTCACTGGTTGACCCTTGGGTCCTGCTGAATACATTCCTAAGCATGTCGCTATCATCAACCCAGTTGAAATTGACTAATTCAGCCCTAATTAATGATTGCAAACAACATCCTCCCGATCTATAAGGCTTCTGCTATACTAGATGGTAATTTGCTACCTCAGTAGACAGGTGGGTTATGTCGTATCTGTTTCGATGAAATATCGATCATTGACCAAGATTTTTTAACAGGTGAAAAATATAAAATGCTTTGTGGTTGAGCTGAATTGTTGAAGTGTGTTGGATTATGCTAGAGCAATTTTGGTTTACATATATAAGTCATATTAAAACAGTTGACATGACTTAACAAAAGTCCGTTTATCATAACTCGGTTAAAAATGTAAATATCAATCACTTTTTTTGTGTTGTATTTAGAAAAACTTTGTCTGTTGCTTGAAAGTTAAGAATAGCAGCACAAGTTATAAATGAAGACTTAGATTGACCAACTGACAATTGCATACACCGATTTGTTCTCCTTTAATAGTTTATATTCCTAATCACTACAAAGCTTTTTGCTGTTTTTGGAATGACGCTCAGCATCTATTGAATAAGACCTCCCTTCTCAAAAAGATGATAAAGGCAGAGTCCTTGAATATTTTTAAGGTAGGAGTGGATAGATCCTTGTTGAAGAAGGCTTGAAGGTCGTCAGGGTAGGTGGGGATGTGTATTTGAGGTTTTAATTAAAAGTACCATAATCTTATTAAATGGTGAAGCAGGTCCAAGCGACTGAATGTCCTGCTTGTAGAACGAAATAATAAGAACACATATAAAAAAGCTCTAAATGTTATCTGCAGCAAAGCTTGCATGTAATCACCTGTATGAAAATGTCGTGGTCTGTAAGCCTCAACCTCTTCAATATTCTATAGTATTGTGTGGGAGGTGCTAAATGGACATGAAATTGGAATTATTCAGTTCATGATTAATGTTCCTTATAAGACATTTTGATTATGGCAATAATTGGTACATATCTAATGATATCCAGCTGGTTGATTATTATAGGAGATGAAGAAGCAGCTTAGTCAGGAGATTGATGACCATCAGCATGAGCTGTCAGCTCTGCAGGATGCACATCGGCAGAAACTAACCAACCTCACGCTCCGGCATAGGGATGAACTTGCAGAATATGAAGAACGGATTGAGGAGTTGGAGCAGCAGTTACAAGGTTAGAAGTAATTTCTTGTGAAGCTATATGCATGTGTCTTAATGCAGCAGAGAAATCTTTGAGGATTAAAGTAGCACACTTAATGTACAATGTTTTGCATGGTCACCGGGATATTTTAACTCATTTTCTCCTTTGGACCCTGTTTTCTCTTTAATTGCTTTATAACTGCCAATTAGTAGAATCATGAAGCCAAACAAGTGTGTACAACTTAAAAACCATGTTTGAAGTTTCCAGTTGTGAAATTTGTGTTTATTTATATTTTAAGCTGTTGAGGAGGAATGAGTTCAGATTGGTTGTGGGGCACTTTAGGTTTTAGAATTATAGAAGCTTCCCTTTTATTCTGGGTGGACAGCTGCTGTCTATTTGTCTCTATTGATGAGTACCTTGATGGCTTTGCAGTTCATTTAATGAATGCAGTATGTAATGTAGCCTTGCAGTACAGGAGAGACAGATGCATTTCTCAGAGTGAACTGAATTTGGTCAAATTATAGTGAGGACACTGAGGTTCGTCTCAGTTATAAGTATTTATGCTCCTAATCACTGTTTGGAGGCCACCTACTGGTAAAGGAGTGTATGTGAAAATTGGTTGAGGACAGGTATTTGATGGACCAGTTTTCACTGCAGAGGCTCACATGTGAAAAATGATACCAAAGATTGACCTTAGAAATATACCACAGTGCAAGTCAATGTTATTGGCATAGGATTTGTTGTAATGAGTGGAGGACATATTTCCGTAGAAAATTCCGCTGCCTCCATTTAAATAGCAAGGAAAAGAACATTTTAAGGAAAAATCTCAGGAGATGCAGACATTCTTAGCCTAAACATTCTTTTTTCCTTCTCACTGGGCCTCACTGTTCTAGATAGCCGTTTTTGACTTTAACAACTGTTAAAGAATCAATAACATCATTCATTCGTGAGAACCCGTGATTTATACTGCAAGAAGCCAAATCACAGGCTCCTCCAAAATGAAAGATGTGGACAGGTTATAAACTAGATATATCAGACTGTCTTCAAGTTATGGAAAGCTAATTAGCAGCAATTATGAGCTCCAGTTTTAAATGCCTGTTCCTTCGATGTTAGCTGAGCAGCAGCCTGCGGAAAGGATATTTGCAGTTGTGTCCGCAAGGAGGAAAATTTCGGGGAAAAAAGAAAGTCCTACTAGAAACAGTAAGAAAGGTTTGTGTTAATTCTCACTCCTTTAACAACCTCAGGACATCAACTGTTTAAAAGCAAATGAACAGAACTCAGCATTGTAATTTACAAAAGATGGCAATTTGGACATCATAGAGCTTCAGAAACAGCAATGAGGTAATGAATGACTGGATCATCTATTTTTTCTGATGTTGGTTCAGCAATAAATGGCCGGGTCACCACGGAGAAATTGACAAACTTTTAAATTCTACCATTGAATCTCTTAGATCAACTTGAGAGAGTAGTTAGTTGAACATCTCATGGCAAGTGTCATAATTACCTGTTTGCTGGGAGAAAGAGAAAAGAGAAAATATTTTATAGGTGACCTTGGATCATGTGAGACCCACATTAATGTATGCAGTTTCTTTTGGAAAGATCTTTCAGAGCCAACTTAATGTCTCTGATACTGGTGTTAAAACCCTAATAAGTTGCTAGATTTGACAGCTGAGCCATGAAAAATTCCTGCTCAGCAGTATTGGCGAGTTGCCCTGGTTTTCCAATTGGCTTTTTGCTGGCTATCCAGGAGTTACAATCTAAATAATTAAGTGCACAATTCAAGCAGTGTAAAAGTAGTTTGTCCAGAATGGCCAAAGTAGAGTTTACATAATGTTTTCCAAAGAAAAATCGATTTGAGAATATTACCTTGGAACCAGCTATCACTTGTATATAAAAAAAATGCTGCAACTTTAACTAGAGGGTGTGTGAAGTCCTGGTCATTTGATTGGATAGCTTAGGCTGTCATTTAAACAACAAATGCACTTAAATATTTCAAGGACTTGGCGATGTCTTTACTGCTGGATTTGACCATTAAAAATAATGATTCATTGTCTGGATTTGAGGCTGCATTTGAGTCCTGATGAATTTCTGTCAGTGCAGTTTGAGAAGTCAGCAGTGCTTTGGTAACTTATATGTCTTGTACCTCTTTTTCAGAAGCAGGTGCAGACCATTCAGTACTCCCTGAGGAGAGAAGGGCTCAGTCAGTAGCCAGTAAACAGTCTGGAGATAAGCTGGAAAGTCAAGTTAAGACCAGGAATGAGGAACTGGCTGATGGCTTCCTCCAAGAGAACGTGAATTCTTCAACAGAAATAAGGCAACTGAAGGAAGAATGCAAGAGACTACAGGAAGAATATAAAAAGTCACAGGATTGTATTGTGGACCTGCAGGGCATTATAGAGAAACAGGAAAAACAACTATCAGGGAAAGTGGCACTGGAGGAAGAAGTGTTCCAACTAAGGCAAGCTGTTGCAGGTACAATATGCTCTTGATTATGGTTGTGCAGCAATATACCCAAAGATGTAAAAACTAAGAGCAGGAATAAGCAATTCAGTCCCTCGAGCCAGCTCCGTCATTTAATGTGATCATGGCTGACTTCATCTCAGCCTCAACTCCACTTTCCTGTCTGCACTCTATAACCCTGCAACCTGTTACTAATTAAAAATCTGTCAACCTCCTCCTCAAAGTTACTCAACCTTCTGGTCTCCACCATACTCTGGGATAGTGACTTCCACAGATTCAAGACTCTTAGAGAGAAGTAATTTCTCCCCATCTCTCTTTTAAATCTGCTACTCCTTATCTTAAAACTATGACCCCCTGTTCTAGATTGCCTCACATGAGGAAACTGTCTAGCTATGTCTAATTTGTCAGTCTCCTTTTGGCATCTTGTATGCCCTGTTAGGTGTCCTCTTATTCTTCTAAACTCCAGAGCATATATGCCTTAACTGCTCGGTCTGTCTTCATAAGATAAATCCCTCAGCTCTGGAATCTAGTGAGTCTACTCTGAACTGCCTCCTATGCAACTATATCCCTTCTCAGGTCAAGAAACCAATATTGTAAGCTGTACTCCAGGTACAGTTTCGCTAATGATTGGTATCATTGCAGCAACACTTCCCTATATTAATACTTTATTTCTTTAGCAATTAATGCCAAAATTTTATTTACCTTCCTTTATTACCTGCATGCGGACCACGTACAGGCAGTTGGGATCAGTTTAGAATGGTTGGCACAGAAAAGGTGGGGCCAAAGGATTGGTTCCTGTGCTGTACTCTTCTGTGATATATATTCTAGATTTCTGCAATTCGTGCACAAAGACACCTAGGTCCCTCTGCGCTGAAGAGCTCTGAAGTTTCTCTCCATTTAAGTAATAAATTGTCTTTCTATTCCCCTGAGCAAAACTGATAGCCTTAAACTTAACCTGCCATTTTTTGGCTCACTTGCCTTCCTATCCAAAACCATTTGTAAATTTCTTATTTATTTATCGCAACTTAATTGCCAGTAGTGAGAAAACCATGCTACAGGATAAATAGGATAGAGTTATTATTATTATCTCCAGGTATTCAAGTGAAGCAACTGTTTTTTCAATCAAAATAGTTAAGTATTGCATTTTACAAACAAGACCAGAAACTTGAGCAGGAGTAAGCCATTCATCCCTTTGAGTCCACTCGACTATTCAATGAGATCAAAACTGATCTTCCATTTCAATTTGGATTTTCATAAAACTGTTGATTATATAAGAGGTTATTGTGCAAAATCAAAGCACATAGAATCACAGAAAATATGGATTCGGATTTATATAGCTGATAGAAAACAAAAAGAAAAAATATCCTTGGTCCAGTGTGGAGGTTGATGGAGGTGGTGTACTGCAAGGATCGGTGCTTGAACCCCAGTTATTCACACAATGTATCAATAATTTGAACGAGGAAATAAAATGCAATATCTCCACATTTGCATATGAGGCAGAACGAGGTGGGATTGTCAGTGATTAGGAGGAAGTAAAGACGTGATTTGGTCAGTTTGAGTGGGGGCAAATGCATGGTAGATGCTGTATACTGTGAATGTGTGAAGTTGGATTGAAATATTTAAAGATGATCTGTGCTCGAAGTGGAGAAATTTCCCTTCGCCCCAGTTCCTAAATGGCTGACCACTTAACCTGAGATTATGACCTGTACTTCCAGACTCTCCAACCAGGGGCATTAACCTCTCCGTACCAATCCTATCAAACCCTTTAAGAATTTTACCAGTTTCAATCAGATCACTATGCACACTTCTTAACTCGAGACATGACAGTGTTGTTCAGCAAAGTGGTCACCCAATCTGCGCTTGGTCTTTGTAGGGGAGACCACGTCATGAGGGGTGAATACTCTATATGAAATTGAGAAAAGTACAAGTAGAACATGGTTTCTTGCCTTGTCATTTCTTATCTCTACCCAAATCACGTCCATGTACTGTGCTTAGGCTTTTCCCTTCTATTGTGCGCATACTACTATTTAACAAACAGCCATCCCAAAACCTTTACTTAGTTTCCTGTTCTTCTTAAAAGTCCTGTATCATTCAGTATTCAGGTCCCATTCTTTGTTATCCAGCAGCCATATCTCTTGAATGACTATCAGATCATATTTATTTCTGCTATCAGTTCACATGTTTTATTTCAAATGCTACATGCATTCAGAGACTGAACCTTTAGTTTTGCTCTTATTAGTTTTGTAACCTTTAGCACCATCTGTTGGTTAACTCTTGGATTGTCCTTTAGCTTTGTCCTTGTCAGTTTGTCATCAATGTTTCCTCTAAATCACTGTGTAGCTGCTCGGTGGGGAATCAGCGCATGCCAATTAACATTCTGTGCTATGCTGATGCATTCACTTATTGTTTCTCCAGCTGCTGCCATGCACAGACCTTGGAGATCCACGCAATGACTGGAGAATTTAGAGGGAACATAGATTATCATTTCTCGTATTAATGTTTTTATCTTTGGCCTTTTCTACCAGTTCCTATATTACTTTTAAGGTATAGAAATATAATGGATCTTAAACACTTGACAAAACTTTGCAATATAGGAGCACCTTCCCCATGGGAAGGGTAGGAATCATCTCTTATAGGGTGAAAATATTAGAAAAAGCTAAGGAATACCTTCTTCCCCATTCCTTCTAACTTCCTTATACTGTGACTGAGGTTGATCCCAAGTATGGGGCGAAAAAGAACACCGTTTAGACTAGTTTCTTTAATTGTCTTCACCTCAGCTGCTCTTAAGTTGTATCTTTTGCTCAGATAATTTTGAAAATGAAAACATTTGTCTGTTCCTGGCAAGTTGCAAGGATGAATAATGGATTTGGCCCTATATATTAGAGTTTTAACATGTTTTCACATTTCCTTTGATTGCAGATGCAGACAATAAACTGAAGAGATTAAATAACACTAATGAAGTATGTAATTGCAAATCGACTTTGAGCTTTACGACTGATGCTATGTTGAATTTGTGTTGTATTATTCTATTTTACTTAGATTTTTCTTATTATCAGGCTGTCTTGATAACTCCTGTGTGATATGTTCTGAGTTACAGTTAGCATTATCCATGAGTGGGATGCAAATGGTGCACTATGAGCTTATACAGTAGGAATATTAATTAAAACTCCACTATAAGGAAGTAGTTATTCCTAGCAAGATTTTGTTTTTTTGTTTACTTTTAATGCTTTCAGTAGTTTTATTTCTTGTGTTATTTGCTTCAAAGTAGAGTGAGTGTAAGTCACAGATTACTTTTGTCTTGTAGCGTTCAACTTTGAACGTTCACTTGTAGGGAGTAGTTCAATTGACAAATTCTGATGATTAAAATGTATATGTGCATTAAATATGAAACATAACAAGTAAATCTCCAACTTTGTGTATGTGACAATTGTTATTACATCTATCATTTTGTTTGAAGCACTTTCTGTTTGTATTGAAATATAAATATACAACTGCAATTTGGGTTGATAAGTTTTAGTTCTTGATTAAAGTAAAAGGAACTCAATCCTGCTTGAGCGAGGGAGGAAACTCTGGTATCTGAAATATCTACTCTACTTAGGGGCCCATTCATTCTACTTTTTAATCGCGAAGATGATTGCATTCACATTAAATTCTGTATGTGTAATATATTTCATGTGAATGCAGACAAATAATCAACTGCTGTGCCAATATGATTTTATCTGTATGAATTGAAAATAGGGGAGGCAATGGCCTTGTGGTATTATTGTTGTACTGTTAATCCAGAGACCCAGATAGCATTCTGGAGACTCGAGATCGAATGCCGCCATGGCAGACGGTGAAATTTGAATTCCATAAAATATCTGGAATTGGGAATCTGATGATGACTACAAATCCATTGTCGATTGTTGGAAAAACCCGCCTGGTTCACTAGTGTTGTTTAGGGAAGGAAACTGCCATCCTTACCTGGTCTGGCCTATATGTGATTCCAGACCCACAGCAATGTGGTTGACTCTGAACTGCCCTCTGGCCAATTAGAGGCGGGCAATAAATGCTGCCTAGCCAGTGACGCCCTCATCCCGTGAATGAATATAAAAAAAATGCAAATTTAAGAGCACTTTGTTAGCTTAGCTGAGTAGTTCAAAATTATGTCTGGTAACAGTCGTCACTTCTTATTTAGTCTTTATGCTGGATAGATTGAGAGAAATTTCTTTCATGTATTTTAATCCAGGGCAAGAGTTTCTTTACACAATGCACAACATTTTCCAAATAACAAGAGAAGAAAATAGTCTCCCCTGTTTAGAAATGTTTGAAATATTATTTGTCATACAAATTGTTCTCATGTATGGCATAAAAACTGCACTGGTTCACAATTATTGTTTTGAACTTCTTTTTAAGGCTACATATAATGGGAAGGAAGATATTCAAGAGCTGAAAGTAAGTCTGCAGTTGTCAATCCACGAAAAGGAGAAATTGCAAAAAGAAAGGGTGGGTATTATGATTATTTTATTTGACAGTTGCTCTTTGAATGAGTTTGTGATAATTTGAGAATATCATTGGTGAGATCAAATTGGATAGATGGTATGTTGTAAGCTGTCTCACGAGAGTTCTTAACACGATGCTGAAGGTGGATGTTGAAGTGGAATGACAGAAGCTACAGATGTTACCTGTAAATTTAATTTTGGAAGCATGTACTTTATGCTTGCTATGATTCAGTTGCATAGAACCAAGTTCTGCAGCTATTATAATCCTGGTAGAAATCAATGATTTCAAACAAATGGTTTGAGTTCTTATTGACCAAATTAAACGAATTTTAAACAAAATTTCAACTATAGAAACTTCTGTTGTGTCAAACAAGCATAAGGCATAACTGAGGAAGCATTACCAACTATGCAAATAATATTCGACATTACGAAAAAGACAATCCTTGCTAATATTTCAACAGAACACATGACCCCACATGGTATTTGTAAAAAAACAGAAATTGCTGGTGAAACTCAGCAGGACTGGCAGCATCTGTAGGGAGAAAGCAGAGTTAATGTTCAAAGGTTTACTCTGCTTTCTCCCCACAGATGCTGGGGATTTGGACGGCATGGTGGCTCAGTGGTTAGCACTGCTGGCTTACAGCGCCAGTGACCCGGTTCGATTCCGGCCTTGGGTGACTGTCTGTGTGGAGTTTATCTCTGACTGAAAACAGTATTGGAACTGACAACATGGTTAATTGACTATTGCAGGTAGTTGCTATTTTCAACCATAAAAACTATCTAAAAATGTGATCTGCTCTATAGCAATGAGCGCAATTTGACACAAGTTATTTTCTTTTCAATGCTAGGATGCTATCCAAGAGGAACTTTCAAATATGCAGGGGAATGGAAATTCTCTTTTGGATCTGAACAATCTGACCAAGGAAGTGAGTGAGCTAAGGCACAATTTGTCAACAAAAGAGAGTGACCTGCTGGAGATCTCCATGCAGAAAGACACATTAATGTTTGAACTTGAAGAATTGGATAAGCAGAATCAAGAAGCCACCGAGGTATGCATTGCTCTGTTAGTTGCATTCCCATCATCACTAGTTTCTTCTTGTTTCTAATTGCTTTTAAAAAAGGGTATTCAGTTATAAGTATCTAAATTACAATTGTTTCCATTAGTACTTCCGTAAGGAAAATTTACTTATTTTGAATAGTAGCATTTTTCCTGTAGTCGCTATTAGCTGCTCCCAATCCAGTTTCAATGGTGCAATTTATGCATTCATTAATTTTATACAGTAAACAGAAATGCAACTGCAACATGCCAGTATAATATTGTGCTTTCTTCTGTTTTTCTAAAGCTGTCCTTCATTGTTCTTTTCGTGAGTCAGTATGGCACAGCAAGAAAGCCATTCGGCCCATCAAAATCATCTGGCTGTTGTGGAACAATCCGATCGGCTTCATTCCCTTGTTCTAGCCCCGTAATCCCACATGTTTATTTTCCTAAAGTCTGGAACTCAGTTGTACAGTCCATCATAGGACATGTTTAAACCATTAAAATATTAGTGTGTACTATTGACGTTATGTTTTAAATGTGCACATTTTTATCATTAAAAATTTGTTTAGAAATGCAATTATGGAGAAACTACAAATAATATATTTTAACCTTTTAGGTCAGTCTTTTTTTTTTTTTTTTTTTTTTTTTTTTTTGAAGCATTTCCTTCCCCTGCTACACCTTACTGTGCTTCTGGCTTCTTGTATTTTGGAGATTAGCCACAGCTTCTGGTGCGGCGATGATGGAGCACTAGTATCCATGTTTGGTTTGTTTTCTTTCCTCCATTTGTTCTCCTTTCTTTCTTCTTCCATATAGAGTTGCTTTCTTCCAACTGGCGTGCACATGACGGAACATTAGGAGCAACTTATACCATTGGCAATTTGGCTTTCAGTAATTTTATACAGTAAACAAAAATAAAGCTGAAACATGTCAGTATAACATTATGCTTTCTAATCTTTTCCTAAAGCATGTGATCACACTGAAAGATCTACTGGCACAGCAGCGGAAAGATTCTGAAAACCAGATCAAAGAATTGCAATCAGAACTGGAGATTGTTGCAGCAGATAAGGCATTCATGGCAAAAGAGCTAGAGTCTCAGAGAGACAAGCTGAGTCAGAGTGCTTTTGCACTTAATGAGCTGCATATGAGTAAGCAGCAGCTGGAGATGAAGGTCAAAGACCTAATGGAGAAGCTAAACAAATCAAACACGCATAGCTCTGACTTAAAGGCTGAAAATTTAAATCTTTTGAAGAAGCTGCAGAGTACTGAATCACAGCTATCAATAGTCAAAATGGAATTAACGCAAGCTGTTGAGCAAGCTCCAAGCAACCAAGGTCAAGAAGAATTGCTCCAAGATAAAGAGAGAGAAATTTCAGAGCTAAAGAAGCAGGTCTCAGAAATGAAATGTATAAGTGATGAGATACAAACTGAACTGTATGATCTCAAAATTCAGAATGGAAAATTGGCTGCAGAAAAGAAGGAAGCCACTGTAACTATAAATGATGTGAAAGAGCAGCTTGAGGCAGCTACAGCCAGTAGAAGTGAGATTTCCAAGGAGGGAGTCACTTTACTTGAGGCATTGCGAACGGAGAAGGCCCAGCTGGAGTTTGAATTGAACCAGGCTGAGAAACGAGTAACTGAAGAGGCGGCAAAATATGAGCACACTATCGAGGAGATAACAAAGGCTCGAAATTTAGATGCAACAGCTTTGCAGAAAGAGCATGACCATCTCATTAAGGCTAACCAGGAGAAGGATTTTAAGATTGAAGAACTCAAACGCACTGTACAACAATTGGAAATCGACCATGAAGAGACTAGGGAAATGCTGAAATCCACTTTGGATGGACAGCAGCAATTGACTGATCTTTTGAATGAAAAGGAAGTATTTGTCAAAACACTCGAGAGAAGAAGTTCAGAGTTACAGCAACAAATTGAAAAGAATGCAAACATTTCCAGAGATTGCGAATCCTTGAAGCAATGTCTTGAAGAGAAAGACCGACAATTAAGTGCAATGAAAGAAGAAAACAACCATCTCAAGGAAGAAATGGATCGCTTCCGGGACCAACAAAGCAGGCCTCAGCCTCCTGCTGAGCCCAAGACCCTTGATATAATAATCGAGCTTGAGACAGAGATAACTGAGCTGAACAATAAAAAGAATAGTCTTGAAGAGGAAATAAGGCTGCACAAAAAGACAGTTGAGCAGCAAAAGCAAAATGTTTTGGAGCTTCAACGTTCTATACAAGCACAAGAGAAAGAAGGGGATGAAGCAAAAACACAGTGTCAAGAGATTACTTCAATGTATGAAAAAATAATTTCAGAGAAAGATGAAGAAATCCACAACCTTCAGGAGTCTATAAATCAAATGAGAACTCAGTTTCAGAGGGAGGTCCTAGTCTCTCCTGCAGATGCTCCGGTCATTCTCCAAGAAACTAAAGTACTAACAGTCAATGGAGAGAATGGAAATGAAAAGCATGATTTGTCCAAAGCAGAGATTGACAGGCTGGTTAATGGACTGAAAGAAAAAGAAATGGAGATAAAAGTATTAAATGAAAAGTATTTGTCTCTGAATAAGCAGTTGGATCAATTACCCATTTTTAAAGATGAAGTGGGTAGACTAACTCAAATCATTCAACAGAAAAACTTGGAGATCCAAAAGCTTCATGCGCGGGTGACACCTGGCTCATACATGCAAGTTGGTGCAGATGTGGCCTACTTGCAACAGCAACTGCAGGCTTATGCAATGGAGAGAGAGCAAATGTTAGCAGTATTAAATGAAAAGACAAGAGAGAACAGCCAACTGAAGACTGAATACCATAGAATGATGGACATTGTAGCTGCAAAAGAAGCTGCTCTGTTGAAACTCCAAGAGGAAAATCTGAAAATGGTCAATAAGTATGAGAATGAAAGTCAAGACATGGTACGGGAAACAATCCAGAATTTGTCTCGGATTATCCGTGAGAAGGACATGGAAATAGATGCCCTTACCCAGAAGTGCCAAACTTTAGTAACTGTCCTGCAGACATCCGGAATGGGATCTGGAGGCGAATCAGGCTTGGTAAGCAGTAATCAGTTTGAAGAACTTTTGCAAGAGCGTGACAAATTAAAACAGCAAGTAAAGAAAATGGAGGAGTGGAAGCAGCAGGTGATCACCACTGTTCAGAACATGCAGCATGAATCTGCACAGCTTCAGGATGAGCTCCTTAAACTTCAAGGCCGATTGTCGACTGATGGTGACTGTAACTCTCGGCTTCAAATAGACTACAACCGATTAATTCATAGTTACGAGCAAAAAGAGAAGAGATTGCAAACCTTAAGTCAAGAACTAGCAGAGGTCCAGCAAAGCATTGGGCAGCTCAGCAGTACCAAGAACCTTATACTTGGCAAGTTGGATGGGGTACCCGCAGCTGGAGTATTGCAAACACCGCTTTCTTGCAGTGGATTCTTGTCCGAAGAGCAATTTGACCAAATTAAAAAACTCCAACAAGAGGTACAATGTTTGAGCAAAATATTGGAGGAAAAGGAGGCCACAATAGTTGAACTTCAAAATAACATAAAATCCTTGAGCTCTCAGGCAGCAGACGCTGAAATGGACAAAAAGGAACAAGATGCTGCTGCCCTGGAGATGAAACATGTAAGGGAGAGAAATGAAGAGCTACAAAGGTCATTCAGGGAAAAAGATCTGCTTATTAAATCAAAAAGTGATCAGTTGTCATCAGTGACAGAGAGCTTAAGGAACAGGGAAGCTGAAAATGAAGTTTTGAAACAAGCTGTCACTAATCTGAAAGAGAGAATTTTGTTTTTGGAGATGGATGTCCATAAAGTCCAAGAAGAGAATGACCAAATTGTAGCTAAATCAAAAGAAAAAGAAACTGAATTTCGAGCTCTGCAGGAGACTAATATGCAGTTCTCTATGATGTTGAGAGAAAGGGAGTTTGAGAAAAATTCCATGAAAGAAAAGGCTTCTGCATTAGAAAAACTGCTAAAGGAGAAAGAAGAGGTGGGTTCAAAACTTTTAATGTTTGCAATGTAGATTGAACAGGTTTAAGAATTAATTTGCATTATGATTAAGTACAAATATATTGTAACACGTCTGTGATCCTTAGCTGATTCTAATTTTGATCAGAATTACTTGATTAAATAACACAATTTGTATTATGACCCCAATTTTTATTTTCAGTGAAGCAAAAGCATCCAACATATAGATCAGTTATAGACCGATGAACCATCAGGCACAGACTTAAAGACTTTCTGGGTAACTTTGTATTCCGTCTTTTTCTTGATGTAACAAGAATTTAAAGTCTAGCCAATGTTGATCATTGATTTTCTGTGTTAGTAGTGATAATTATTTCCATCCAATCTTCCTGTTGGTGAGGAGGGGGAACTCCTGAGAACTGTATGGAAAATGTAACATTTGCAACATCCATTGCCCCCAATGTGTACAACCTTGCTTTCTTATTGCATTATCCCTATCTGACTTAAATAACCTAATTTGTTGACTTTTGTTCTCATCCCAACTACTCCTCAGTTTCTGGCAACATAAAAAATATGTAAAATAACTTCTCTATATACTTGACACTTCCAACATTGTTTTAATCCTTGAGTTCACGGAGCCGACAGTGAGCTGGATTGTTTAACATTTTATAAAGCTCCTAAACTATGTTAAACTTTGTTTTATGCCATTCCTTATCCAGATAATCTTGCATTGTGCATCTGTTAAATATGTGAATGGTATTACTTGACCAAATTAAATTTTCTGATAGTAGGAATTAAAATGCTAATTCCATTTTTCTCTCAACAAATGCTGCCTGATGTACTGAGCATTTCCAGTATTTTCTGTTTCAGTTTTTAAGTCTCTTATCCCTCCTGTTTTCTATACATAATGCCTCTAGAGAAGCAAGTCCTTTGTTCTCTAAGGCCACATTTTATGAAGCCTGAGTCAAATCGACATTTATTTTGTCAAAGGTAAGTGACAGTTCTATACGATTTGAAAGACTTGCAAGTTTTATCATTTGATTGCAATTGTGCAGTTATTTCTTTTTTTCCCTATTAGATGATTCCAGTGATGTTAATGAAAGGGATTGTGTATATTTTATGCCATTTCACATTGGTCTGAAAGTTGACCCAGAAACCTTGTTACTATTTGAGATCTTTGTTTTTCCCACACAATGGAATAGTTTCTTTGGTTGGATGTTTCCAGATTTGATGTTGAAATGGTTTCAAGTGGAGCCCCGTCTCTTCCATCCCAGGGGAGGCAATAGCCTAGTGGTATTATCCTGGACCGTTAACCCAGAGATCCAGAAACATTACAGGGACCTGGGTTTGAGTCCTGCCATAGCAAATGGTGGAATTTGAATTCAATAAAAAAAAAACTGGAATTGGGAATCTAGTGATTACCATGAATCCATTGTCAATTGTTGAAAAAACACATCTGGTTCACCAATGTCCGTTAGGGAAGGAAACTGCCATCCTGGCCTACATGTGACTTCAGATCCACAGCAATGTGGTTGACTCTGACCTGTCCTCTGGGCTATTAGGGATAGGCTATGAATGCTGCCTAGCCAGCGACGCTCTTGTCCCACGAATGAATCAAAACACCCTCCACCCCATTTCAGTTGAAGATGCTCAGGAATACTTCCTGTGATTGAGATCTCAAAAAATCAAATACTTGACAGGAGGAGGAGGATGAAAACACTCAGTCACATCAGATTTGAAATTGACGCTTGGTAGTGCAGAACTTGGGTATTGCTGAAAATAAATACATTTTGTTGTATCTTTTTGTCTTGCACTCATCTGGTCATTTGCAAAAGTACTAGTTAAGGTGAAAAAAAATGTGCTGATTGTAATGTGTAAAATGTGTAATGTGTTGTTTGGTTGATAAATGGAGTCTGATGATAGAGGCGTTGTCGTGAGGAATGTGTCCATTAATTCTGAATGAGTGTTCACAGCTGAGCTTTGTCAAATTATGCAGAAACAGAAATTGCTGGAGAAACTCACCTGGTTTGCAGCAACTGTGGAGAGAAAGCAGAGTTAACGTTTTGGGTTCAGTGACCCTTCTTCTTTTCAGCATCCACAGTTCTTCCACAATCCACAATTAAATTATAAACCAGGCCTGATGGCTTTGATTGATCAGGGCATTGTCCTGAGAAAGGGATATGGGCCAAATGCTGCTGCCTGCTTTGTTGAGTTGAAACAGGCGCACTGTGTGGATAGATGAGTGCAAATGTAAAGTTTCAACAAAATGTGTCTTTTCCCAGTAATACCTAAGACTTGAAATTCCTACATCAGCAATATAATGGGCATTTTAAAAACATGAAGAAATTTCATATGATTGGTATTGTTGGTATTTGAAAAAATAGAAGTCTAGACATGACTAAATGGCTCAAATTACTACCTTTTGGTTAAACAAAGCAAACAAAAGCATTACAGCACTGGTCTTTGCTAGTAACATGTATTTTTTAAATAAACCTGCCTTGCTAAATTTGAGCTTCATTATGGAATTGATCAGTTCTATTTCATGATTTGAAGGGAAAGACTGGTGAGTTAAATCAACTGCTGAATGAAGTGAAATCAATGCAAGAGCAAGCTGGGATGTTTCAGCATGAGAGAGACCAAGTAATGCTGGCCCTCAAACAGAAACAGATGGAAAACTCTGCGTTAGTGAATGAGGTAATATATTATTGAAATAGTCATTAAATTTAAGCCCTGCAATTGTTATGAAGTGTGCTGAGCACTACTGAAAGGTATGACAGTTGCAAATCAGCAGCTTCAGTCATATCCAGATCAATGGTTTTTGAGTTGTATCTGATTCCTGATAAACATTTGTTCACAAAGCTAATTTAATTTTTGCTGATTGTACCAACAGCTATATAGATTTACTGAATGAGTATTCTCTTATTCAGCCTGTGCTGCAGCTGACCCGAATGTACATTGTGCTTGCATTCCTTCCATCTTCTTTGAGCATTTTGTTCACTTTAACTAGACTGTGAACCAGCCACATTCCAAATTGACAAAGTAACTCAAACTCTTCATGTCTGAAAAAGATCTGTCTTGTACAACAGAATATCGTAGTCAAGGTCAAACATGTTGCAAGGGCTCTGTTCCAAGTCACCTTGTATGGTTGTGGGAAGGAAATGGCACTGTTATCAAGCCAGTTAACTTTGTGTCAATATTGCTATAAACTTTGAAGGGAGCTGTGTTGTGCAGTGTATGTATAACTACATTTGTTTGGACAAGAGCATTGACATTGTCCTAGAGTCATAATGATATTAAGCATCTCGATCATGAGCATTTCTGCTAGTGTAAAACTTCTAACAGTGCATATGTGAAATCTGACTCTCTAGTCAGATTTTTTTCACATTGGGGTGACTTGACCTTTGAGAAGGGTTCAAGAATGCTTTATTCAGAGACTTCTAAAAAGGCAAAATAGGTGTAAAGATCTTTACTGTCATTTTACTTATGAACTGTAATGGAAAAGAACTGTTTTAAAAACCCGAGGATTGTTAAGGGATTGGTGCACCTTTTGAAAGCAAATAACCTGACACTCTTTGCAAGTGCTGCCTAACACAGTTGCTGGTTCGAGTCGTAGTTGGTGGTTGGCAGACGAGCTGGAGCCAAGGGCTTTGTGTACAAATGGAGAATCAGCTAGAAGCAAGTAGCTGATTGATCTGTGGACTAGTGACCAGTTGAGTCATATAGCACGGAAACAGACTCTTCAGTCCAATTTGCCCGCGCCAACCAAACACCCAGATCTGACTTAATCCCGTTTACCAGCATTTGGCCCGTTTCCCTTTAAACACTTTGTATTCATAGACCCATCCAGGTGCTTTTTAAATGTTGTAATTATACCAGCCTTCACCACTTCCTCTGGCAGCTCATTCCATACTCTTACCACTTTCAGCATGTAAAAGTTACCCCTCGGATTCCTTTTAAATCTTTTCCCTCCCATCTTAAACCTATGCCTTCTAGTTTTGGGCTCCCCCATCCTAGGAAAAAGACCTTGGCTATTCACCCTATCCGTGCTCCTGATGAACTTATAAACCTATATAAGGTCCTCACTCAGCCTCCAATGTTCCAGGGAAAATAGCCCCAGCCTATGCAGTCTCTCCATATAACTCAAACCCTCCAGTCCTGGCAACATCCTTGGAAATCTTTTCTGCACCGTCTCAAGTTTAACAACATCCTCCCTATAGAAGGGTGACTAGAATTGTATGCAGTATTGCAAAGGGTGCTTCCCCAATGTCCTGTAAAGCTGCAGCATGACGTTCCAACTCCTTTACTCCTTGTTCTGACCAATGAAGGCAAACGTATCAAATGCCATCTTCACTACCCTGCCTACCTGCGACTCTACTTTCAAAGAACTATGCACCTGCACCCCTACGTTTTTTTGTTCGGCCAATACTCGCTGGGACCTACCATTGACTGTAACGATCTGCCCTGATTTGCCTTTCCAAAATGCAACATTTCACATTTATCTAAATGAAACTCCATCTGCTACTCTGCCCATTGGCCCATCTGATCAAGGTCCTGTTGTACTCTGTGATTATCTTCTTCACTGTCCACTACACCACCTATTTTGGTGTCATCTGCAAACTTACTCACCATGTCTGTAGTATTCCCATCCAAATCGTTATCAATGGAAAAGTCATTCTGCCTGCTAACAACCATGTGATTGGCCCCCCAGGTAAGTGAACAGCTTGGCCAGTGAACAAGATAGGGAGAAGCTAGTGAGTCTCTGAAAGTTCAGGAACCTTCTCTATTCTGTGCTGTGAAAATAAATGTAAGACTGAACAAACATACTTTATTTTTCCTTAAGTTGCTGTAAGCAGTGACTTTGCATTAAGAAGCCAGAGACATTTTTTATAAATGTGAACCAGTCTTCTGCAAGCATCTGGAGCAGGAAGATCAGCATCTTAACAAATCCTTTGAACAGAGACCAGTGAACTACTTTCCCAGTCTGTCCCTCCATCCGTAACACCCATGTTCTTTTCCTTGTATTTGTCCGTTTGTGTGTGTGTAGAAGGGGTTTTGTAAGGTGATTAGAGTTTTAATTAATCGAGTTATATTCTGATGGTTCAAAATTGCTTAATTTCGCTAGAGTCTGTTTATTTGTAATAAATAGTAGTTATTGTTAAGGTTGGAAACCTATTGCATGCTTTCTATCAACCTAGGTCTAAAAATTAGATAAATTAAGGAACTCTGTGTACTTGTTTAACATCTTTAACTTTTGTGATGACTCTGGGAATAGTAGGATTTGATTTTCAGAATGCAACCTGAATAAGTTAACAGAGCTGGGAAGAGAAGTCTTTGCTGAACCTGATCTGGGTACGATTCGCTAGATATCAATTGAACAGAAAAGTAATAACAGACCCACTCAACTGGATAATGGTGAAGAGATGTTTGAGCGAATTAATGCAGTGAACCACGTCAAAAGTCTTCTGATAGAATGATTATGGATAATGCATCATTGTGTGGTTACTGGAGAAGTTGTTCATGTATTTGGTTAGGGATGTTTTGATGATGTGAGATGAGAAAAAAGCTTTTGGAGAGATGTGCATGAATGTTGGGAGTTTGGAGGCAGGACATTAGTTTGCATTGATGAGTGTCTTCAGCAGTAAAATTACGATTGAAAATAAAAGAAATAGTGCTTGATTAGAGGTAACCAATTATAATGGGAAACGAGGAAAATTGGGATTTGCAAGTAAATAAACTCAAGGAAGAGGGTAAGTAATAGGGCAAGGTAGGGATGACAAGATGAGAGATCAAAATGAAGATTAAAACTACACTGGATGAGTATGAGGAAGTTTTGACTTTACATGAAAGAGGAAGGGAAGCAGTAGAGCCCTCTGAGTAAAACGTCTGGTGACAAAGCAGCCCATGTGCTCCCAGCAGATTGAGCAGGAGAGAAAGCTTCAACAAGATAGCTGATGAAATAAACCATTAGCTATCTGAGTGTAAGTTAAATCTATGACTCACCATGATGATGAGGTTCCACATGTTCATTGTGCAAAGATAAGTTTTATTAATTGCATAAGTGAATTATAATTATAATTGGTAATGTATTCACTTGTGATATAAAACAACCAACAGAGTTGCCTGGCTTAGTCTATCTTTAAAGAAATTGAAGAAGTATATTTGCAAAACATGCATGTTTCTGATTCAGGTCATGACCTGGTATAAACGTAACCAAAGTGTACCATCATATAAGCCATTGCTTTATTAGAGAGTGAGTCATCTACACCCGCTGTAAATATGATGCATAGTCTAATTACGGCCACGTTGGAAGGTACTGATATTAACATGGTTGCTACTGCATGTTTGAAATTGGAACACTGGCTGTTGTGAATCAGATTTAGTTTAAAGGCTGAAGTTCAAACTTCCCTGTTGTTCTTCTCTATTATTCTGAATACAGTTGAATTGTGGCAAGCATCCTGTGCAGAGACTAAAAAACTTTGCAGTGGGAATGGTGCATTCAAGATGATGTCAAAATCTTTTAAAGCTTCCCTAAACAAACTTTTTGGGATTTCTTTATACAAACATCTGTGAGTGATAGAAAAAATGAAAAGTTCTGTTTTAAATGTTAGAGATAGTAAGAACTGCCGATTCTGGAGTCTGAGATAACACAGTGTGGAGCTGGAGGAACGCAGCAGGCCAGGCAGCATCAGAGGAGCAGGAAATCTGATGTTTCGGGTCAGGACCCTTCTTCAGAAAATGACCGAAACATCAACTTTCCTGCTGCTCTGATGTTGCCTGGCCTGCTGCGTTCCCCCAGCTCCACACTGTGTTATCTGTTTTAAATGTTAGTTGTCAGTGTCTAAGGCACTTGTAAGCCACAAATCCCCGTGTATCTCGTTTCTTCAGCTTTCACGTCTCTTTCTGTTTCTTGCTGTGCTGTGTAAACTTCAAGAGTGTCTATAATTATGGGTTCTGTACTTTTGCATTGATTTGTTTTTGTTTTGTTTGAGAGCTGTTCTCCGCATGCTGTTCTTCATTTATATTGGCACAACTTCCCACAGCTTAATGTTAGACCTAGTGGACAATAGGCTGAAAATGGTCACATCTTGATGCAGTTGTACATCATCCAGCTGATAATGGCAGAAGATATTAAACAAAAATTGCCAGTCAACTCAATAGGAAGCCAATGGAAGTAAGAGAAGATAGTGAATGAAAAGAATTACTGTTTATTACATATCATGATCTTTTATGACGTAAACCTAGGCACTTGAGCATTAAACAGTATTAATAGGAGTGCATTGCACTGTAACTGAAAATGCTGTGGGGTAACTTGCGGTTGGACCAATAGATTTGGTACAGCAAAAGACAGATTGCTAGAATCCAATCGAAGATTTTGGGGGTCAACCCATGCTATTATTCAGGTTATCCCATGCTAAAGGTTTACTTGGCCTGATTAGTCTCCCACCCACCCCGGCCGCAAACCAGGGACAGAAACTCAGGATGCAGGGATGATTGGGAAGTGGACGACGTTTATTCAAGCAAAAACTGGCTGATGCAGGGAGAGGGCCAAAGAATCTTCCCCTAATCGGAAGAGAGATCAATGACATGCTCTAATTTTACAAAGTAGTACAGCATTTTTACATACGGTGTTATAATAATCAAATGCAATATAGTCACTGTCCTTCCCCTTAATCCAATCACCCAATCCCATGGGACACCTAATTAATGCAGGACATTCCTAGGGACAGCCCCAGGTTCTCATGATCTCATGGTGTTTACTAGACATTGTAATCTCTGGGCCTTGATCTTTCGATGCATCCTATTAATTCACATTCTAGAAGTTATTAGTTGTACTCCTGGTCTGTCCTAGACTTTGTTACCTCTAAGGGCTGTTTGAATTCTGTTATTCATGGTATTACCTGTGCTGCCTTTATCATATTTAATTATTCATTTTAAATTTTCCACAGTCCTTTTTTTATATATATTTATTTTTTATATTAAAAAGAAAGACAGTTTTAACTAATTGATATGATTAATTCCTGTTATAATGTTAAAGGGTAAAGTTATACAGCTACTTTTACTGCTAACACTTTGTAGCTAATGAGCTGGACCAATCTAATTAACTTTCACTTCTGGGCTTAAATGCTTTTTTCCCCGACTGCTTGTATTCTGGTTATATGTGGAAAACTACTTCTGGGATAACCTGAATAATTCTTTAACTACAGTCTATTTCTTAATACTGTAGGTGAAAAACTAATTACTACAAAATACCTTTAGCTGTTGTTATGTACAGCTGTTTAGGGAGTTGATCTGATGGGTTCATGAGCTAAGATTTACACCCCTGGTGCTATGTCATTGGTGGGACAACATCCTTTCATTAATGAGTCTACAGTCATTTGTCTGTTCTTAGGCATCCTCTTATCAAAACTCTCATGGATGATGGGTTGTAGGGTCTTTGTATGACCTTGCGTGGTTCTGTTCCAAGGTACTAATATGTTTCACTCTAAATTTTAGAGCAGACTGACTCATTTTGTTTAGTCCTCGTGTGCTTCAAACGTGGGCTGCTTTGGTGCAAGCAAATACGCGTCACCCCTACAGAGATTTTTGACAAGTTTTGCATAATTTGTTATAGCGATTACTAAAGAAATAATAGTGAATAAAAGCGGTGGTTTTCACTCTATCAACTTTACAATGCCAATTCTTGATTTAGTTCACTGGGCATTGGTCTATTATTCTACTCTGCTCACTGGCATTCACTAAAGCACTAAAAATCAACCCTTTCTAGCCATTACCCAGTGTGAATGATCAGAGACATCCTGAACTCTAATTGAGAGATAGTAGGAACTGTCGATGCTGGAGTCTGAGATAATAAGACGTAGAGCTGGATGAACACAGCAGGCCAGGCAGCATCAGAGGAGCCGGAAAGCTGACGTTTCCGGTCTGGACCCTTCTGCAGAAATGGGGGAGGGGAAGGGGGCTCTGAAATAAATAGAGAGAGGGGGAGGTGATGATAGAAGGTGGATAGAGGAGCAGATAGGTGGAGAGAAGACAGACAGGTCAAGGAGACGGGGATGAAGCCAATAAAAGTGAGTATAGGTAGGGTGTTAGGATGGGGGTTGGTCAGTGAGGAGGGAGGGGCAGGTAGATAGGAGGGAAGATGGACAGGTCAAGGAGATGGGGACGAGATGGGCTGGTCTTGGGATGAGGTCGGGGGTGGGGAGATTTTGAAGCTTGTGAAGTCCACATTGAGACCATTGGGCTGCAGGGTTCCCAAGTGGAATATGAGGTGCTGTTCCTGCAGCCTTCAGGTGGCATTGTTGTGGCTCTAATTGGCTTGATAACATATGAACAAGTCATGGTCAGTCTTGGATTTAATAGGTAGTGTCTGCCCAATTCCTGATTGGTTTCTTTAAAAGTAATGGACATCTTAGTGACATTGTTTCCCGTTGTCTCCTGATTCATTCTTAATATGCTAATCAAGTTATAAGATTGTCCCTTTTATAGATCTACAGGTGTTTACCAAGATCGGGTAGATAAATAATGCATCTTGTTGATGTGTAGTTTTATTTCCCACTGATGAACTATTATCCCAAATTTCCCAGTGTGTGACTCCACACATCTTTTGGTACCTATAATATTTTGTAGCTCAAAATAACAATAAGAAACTAATATTCATAGGCCTGTTACATATTTTAAGTTACAAAATTAGATCAGGTTAAAACCTAAGACCCTTCTTCGGTCTAGACCCGAAATGTCAGCTTTCCCGCTCCTCTGATGCTGCTTGGCCTGCTGTGTTCATCCAGCTCTACACCTTGTTGTCTCAGATTCTCCAGCATCGGCAGTTCCTACTATCTCTGGAACCAGTTTAAAACCTAGTTTGAATAAAAAATTTTGTACCTCAAAAATGTTATCATGTTTCAATATTAACTTAAGTCACAAAAGGAACCATAAAATCTTTGCTTCACTGTTTCCTTTGCTATGTGGTTGTACAAATTCAACATAACCTCTGTTTTTATGCTGTATGCCCTTGTTAATAAGTTAGGATACTCTGTGCTTTACTAATTGCTCACAACCTATCCTGTCACCTTCACTGACTTACAGACTTAAGTTCCCTCTGCTTCTGCACTTTCTTTTGATTGGAAGCGTTTATTTTATGTTTTGTCTCCACATTCCTCTTACCAAAGCAAAACACTTATCTGAAGAAGAGAGCTACATGCTTGCTATCACGTCATGTAGAAACTCATGTAGTCTCATGCTCAGCTAGTTATGATATTCTTTTATTATATTCCATTGATATTCTGACTGTCGGTTATTATCGTGGTTATTCTGTCTAGCCATGTTGGTTATTAACTTGGGAAAAAAATTTTTTAAATTTATTCATGAGATGAGGGTATGGCTAACTGGACGAACCGTCCAGTCCAATTATTGCCCATGCCTCGTTGTCCTTGAAAAGATTATTCAGAATATTACCTGGGGATGGTGATGGTAATGGTAATGTCTCGTCTCTTATTTCAGTTGCAGCACACACGTGATAAGGAGCAGCGTTTGAACCAGGATTTGCAGCGATTACGACAACACTTAATTGAGATGGAAGAGTCATACACCAAAGAGGCGTTGGCAGCTGAAGACCGAGAGGCTGAGCTAAGGAAGAGGGCTACTTTTCTGGGGGAGAAGTTAGCATCCTCATCTTCTGCTGTGGAAGATGCCAGGTAGAAGTAATGACTTTTTACTGCAACAATACTAATGATTGTTACAGTTCCTAAATCACTTAATTTGTCCTCTTTATGATGCACCAGGTGACATAAATTTGGGCTATGGTTTCACAGAATAACAGAATTGTTACAGTGCAGAAGGAGGCCATTCAGCCCATCGTGTCTGCTTTGGTTCTAATAGTGTCAATCTCCTACTTTTATTCCCCATATCCTTGCACATTTCTACCAAAATAATCATCCAATTCTTTCTTGAATGCCTAAATTGCACCTGCCTCCACCACATTTCCAGGTAGGGCAGTCCAAACCCTAACAACTTGCTATGTGAAAACGTTTTTTTCTTATGTCACCTTGGCTTCTTTTGTAGATCCCTTCAAACATATGATCATTTGTTTTGCTCCTCTTACGAGCAGGAGCAGCTTCTCCCTATCATGATTTTGAAAACCTGTACCCAAACTCCTCTCCATTTTCTTCTCTACAAGTAAACCAGCCCCAACTTATTCAATCTACATTCATACTGAAGGTTCTCATTTCTG